ACACACACGTGCACGCACACGTGCACAATGGATGCACATGCCTGCCTCTACTTGAGGCAATGCATATTTTTCAGGGTAATTGAAAAAGTTTACTTGTGCAGGATGAAAGTCAAATTATTTACAGCTTATTATGTATTAAGTCAAAATCTACACCTACATTTTCAATTACTTTTGACCCTACACAGGCGATAGGACACTAACGGACCGTCTACACAGCAGCGTTAAAAAAAAATCTTGAAACGCTTCTGCCCATTCACTTTGAATGGGGTGACGTCACTTTCCCTCACTTTTCGCCGAACTGCATTGTGGGCAGCAGAGCGGAGATTTTCAGGATTTTCAGGATTCAAAGTTGAACAATGTTCAACTTTTGAGGCTGAGGTGGAAGCGTCAGCCAATCAAATCCCGTGTACGCAAATCTGACAGTTCAAGCTCTAGCCAATCAAACGGCGTGTATGCTGGGAGAGACACCGCAGGTCATTTCCTCATATTCCAAAAAATGGAGGAGAAATTAGCGGTAGCGAATCAATCACCCGGTGCTTTATGACCAGACCTACCGGGATATAAACCGGAGGAGCCAGGCATGGAGGGAGGTGGCAGAGACAGTGGTAGGTTTTCGCCTGTTTTGGGGAGTTTATATCCAGTTTACTTCGGGCTTTTTTGCTTCGTATGTCGCGGGCGGGAGATTCATGTGATTGGTTGTTCGTGCCTTGCTCGCAAAAAATCCTCAAGCTTCAGATACGCCCACCTCCAAGATTTTTTTAACGCTGCTGTGTAGACGGTCCGTAAGAGTCAGTCTTTAAAAAAATGTGTTTTTTAGATTGATCAGTTACTTTTTGGTCTCTAAAATGTCATAACATATTAAAAAATGTCCATCCTAGGTGCCTATAAATGTCTTGTGTTGTCAGTCACAAAGATATTGTAATAAATATAGTATAAATAAAAACAGATAAAAGCAGGAAATCTACATATTTAAAAGGCTAAAAAAAGCAATTTCTTACATTATAGCATGAAGAATTACTAAAAGACTTGATTATTAAATAAGTTGATTATTAATCTTTGCAGCTATAAAGTATAGTAACTGGTAAAGGATATTCGTAAGAACATATGCACTGAAACACATCCAAATCATTTCATTATCCTGGAAACAAGTCCAAATCATTTATTTTAGATTGTTGGTTGCCTAAGATGGTAGCCTTGTTTTTACAGTGTCAGCAGCCACTAAAATAGTATGTAATAACAACGACTTAGCAAAGTATGAGTAGCAAAATCAACACATTTAGTCAAAGTAGTAGCAGAAGAAGTTAAAGAAGAAAATGTTACCAAGCCGTATCACATCTTAGAGTTCATATATGTGCCAGGTGTCAAAAAATACAATCTAAAAAGCCATTGTGTCGACCCCTGTTTTAAACATGTTTTGTAGGTTTTCTTGAATCTCTTTGATACCTGCAAATTAACTTTCTTTTACGGAGAAAACACACTTTGAAATGGTATTATAGCATCTGTGCTTAATTTGAGATTCAACATGGAAAGCAACAGAAGAGGTGGAAAGATGGACAGAGGACGACACACAGCCAAGGTCAGGCACAGTCTCAAATCTATAATATACACACTCCCTATCTCTCACACACACACACATACATGCATACTGGTTGTTATTTGCATTGGGGACCAAGATTTTGAACATCACTTACGGGGACTACCCTTTCGGAGGAAATTAGGTAAACTTGTCATTGCTTAGTTAACTTATGCACATGTTTAAAAAAATAACTCGAGAATGATGAGGCAATCTTTTCCCATGCTTAATGCGAACGCAGGATGTATAAACACACAGACACACACATCAATGTTGCAACCTCAAACTCATTACAATAGAGATGCACCACCGAGATGCCCCACAAACAACACGTTCATTTCCCTCCTTATTATAGTGTATAGGGCACTCTGTATTCTCACAAGATTAGCTCTCTCATTGACTTTGTCCAAGCTTAGAGACTCATAAACATGCTGTAATAAAGTATGCTCTAACTGCATACCAATTAAAGGCAACTGGAATGAAAGGGCCACTTTACCTCTTTAAATTGATCTAATCTATCATGTCTTATTTGTCTATCTGCTACAATTATCTCTGCCCCGTCTACCCTTATCTACGTCTAGGTTTGGGTTTCGATTATTAAGATCACCGGATAGCCACAAGCCTTGAGGATCGGAAATCAGATGGCTCCATGAACCAAAGAGCCGATTCAATACTGTAGTCAGGGTACATGCAGCTAGAGACAAGGGGACGAAGCCAAGTGGTACTGGAGTGGCTGGAAAATGTGTGATTTATCGGGGTAGTTTTGGGGGTTTTATGATCTTACTTATATGATTGAACGATGCAAAATAAGGACATAAACTGAACAAGAAGTGCCAGAGGCGATCTGGAAACTCAAACAGTGGAGGTTTTACTGAACTCACTGTGGAAATGACACTAATTTAATTCTGATTGGCAGCAATAACCATGAAGTTGCCACTAACGTTGAAGCTGCAAAGGTGTTAGACTACTTCTGATTAATGGATGGGACCATGGGCGGTAATGGGGGGGGCCAACAGGGGCCTTTGCCCAAATAACACTGAGCTTGGACTCTCCTGTGGCCCCCTTCAAATGACGAGTGATAACACCATTTGTGATAGCGTTGCATCAAAGACTGTGACATGACCCAAAGTCAACAAGGATGGGTTTTGTCATGAAATAACATTTAACTAAGACACAACTTCTGTAAATTAAACAAATACCAATAGCGCTTTGTTTTTCTTTCTGTATAATGGACCCAAATGTATAAATCTTGAACACTGTCTTTTTCTCTTTTGTTCCACATGTAATGGGCCCCCTCTTATAAAATAACTGGCCCCAGCACAGCCCTCAGTAACATTGGTTTAGTACTGCTATTGGAAGTGAGTGTTGGACTTTAAAGGAGAGGTGTCATGGCCATTTCCACTGATCATAATTCCATTGTTGAGGTCTACTAGAATAGATTTATATTGTGCATTTTTCCAAACTCACATTGGTTTCTCATACAGCATCTCTGTAAACTACGTGTATTCACTGAATTTCACTCTCTGCCTTTAACGGCTCGTTGGAGCTCCAATAGCTCCAGCCCCCACCCTCCCTGTGAGCACAGTGTGCTCTGATTGGTCGGGACGTTGTGAATCGCGCTAAGCTCCGTGGAGGTGTTGTTTCCTTGTTTAGGATACACAGCCAAACACAGCCAAACTCATCCTGAGCACACACAAACTCACATCCGAAGTAAAAACAATAAGTGTGGCTTGATATTGAGTAAGAAAAAGGTTGATAAACGCTGTGAGAATGGGTCTGCAGAGAGAATTTCCCAACTGTCTGTTATCAGCCTGCAGCCAGGGAGGAGAAATCAGCTGAGCTGCCTGCTCCCTGTACACAGATGTGTGTGTGATTAAGTCCGTGGATTGGTCAATTTGGACCAATCAGCGGGGGCTTAACGTAACGGCTCCGCGGACGTAACGTAACGGCTCCACGGATTGGTCCATTTCGTTCCGGGTATGGCATGACATCATGCCGTACCCGGAAGAATCAAATGGACAATGACGTATCTCCAACGAGGCGTTTTGGGGAGGTATTTTCTGTGTTAGAGTTTTACTCGCTACAGGGTGTACTTTGAGGGTTTTGACTCTGCACACCGTTTACATGCATAAAAACCTTCATAACACACAAGGGGAGCATGACACCTCTCCTTTAAAGAAATTGCAATGATGCAACAGAAGCAAGCAATAACCATGACACCTGTGTGATGAACGTGGAACTGTTATGCCTTATAATGGCAACTAAAATATAGCATCAAACAGAAACCACATTGTCAAAAGTCAATGAAAATGATCCAACTTCCTTCCTAAATAAAATGGATCTCAGACATTCCACAGCACATTATGCTCACTATTCTAAATGGTCGCTGTGCATGTTGCTCTGCCTTTTCATGGTTTCTTTTGATGAGATTTACGACTTAAATCAGTGTGTATGTTGGGTGTGTTCGACAGGTCTTTCAACTCTAATGATTGCCAGATCCTATAAGCACCAACCTGTTCGACGCCGCGCTGCCTAAATCTGTATTTTGTGTCTCCTAAGAACAAGACAACAAGATGGCTTCAAAAGGACAAATACCTTACAACACAGTGTGCAAGATACCCGGCAACAGTGTGCAGGGACTTGTTGGTGGTGCAGCAGCTGACCGGCTAATAACACTGCCAGCTGTTTGTCCCTGTCGGCGCTTTATGTACCTTCAGCTATGCAGTGTGATGGCAACAAGCGCGGATCAATAAATATGGTATTGTGTTTTATCGTGTTGCAGAGGAAAGGATGTGAGGGTGAACTCGGGGAAGAGACAGCTTCTTAAGAACTGGGGGATTATGGGATGCTGTCACGCACACGTACAGAGAGGGGAGACAGGATTTGTGTGTGTGTGTGTGTGTGTGTGTGTGTGTGTGTGTGTGTGTGTGTGTGTGTGTGTGTGTGTGTGTGTGTGTGTGTGTGGAGATGCAGGGACAGAGAAATTAGAGCACACACATGACAGAAAGGAACATACAGCTACACAAAAACAGAGAGAGAAAGAGAGGGAAACATGTTCACGCACACACACACACACACACACACACACACACGCCCACACACACGCCCACACACACACACGCACGCACGCACGCACGCACACATGTTCCTCTGGGGGTGCCAGTAGGAGAGACAGGATGTGTGTGTGTGTGGAGATGCAGGGACAGAGCAATTGCAACACACACATGCAAACACACATAGGAAAAGACAGAAAGAGAAGGACACAATCACACACACACACACCCACCCACCGACCCCACACACCCACCCCCACACACACACACACACACACACACACACACACACACACACACACACACACACACACACACACACACACACACACACACACACACACACACACACAGCAGTCAGACTGATCACGTACCTTCCAGACAGCAGGTTCGCCAGAGGCCGGAGTGCGTCATCACCTCCTCGTTCTTGCGGCTCGTGTCGTTGTCGTTGGTGCTCTTCGTGCGGCAGACCCCGCGCGAGTACAGCCAGTAGTCGGTACCGACGGCGATGGTCATGAGGCTGAAGGCGGCGAACGCGCCCACCGTCGTCACGAGCATCTGGACGCCGCGGTCACACATCAGCATCTTCATATAGGCGGTTCCTGTTTGTCTTAATCTAAATGTCTTCCTCTCTTTTCCCCCCTTATTATTTCCTTAATATCCCGCGAGATTTGGAGAGTCAGAGTGAGGGGGTTCAACAGACAGTCATTTTGGAAGATAAAATACACATATGTGAATTAAAAGGGGCGAAAAGGGAATTAATTTGCTGCCTGGTGTGTTGAGTTGGGAAGGTGGGAGGGCGGCACGTCACTTTCTCGCGCATCAAAAACCGGTTTTACCATCCACCACCCTCACACACACACAAACACACACACACCGGAGGTTTAGCGACCACCGGTTGTCCCCGACTACCCAACACTTGTCTCACTCAGTCAGAGTGGAGGGAAACAGCGATACCACATTCTGCCTCTCCTTCCCTCCTTCCGTGCGTTAAATACGCGTATCCAGCAGTAACCCGAGATATCTTCTTCTTCTTTTCCTCGTCTATCTCTCTTCTTCTTCTCTCTTCTTTAACTTCTTCCTTTCCTAAACCAGCTCCCTTATTAACAGCACAGCTCTGCGTGGGGGGACTCCATCTTTAAAAACAACAACAAAAAGGGGGGTTAGTTTGTTTTATATTGACTGATGTAACCGCACCAGTCAAAGGGGGGAGGGTTTCTGTTTCTATACTAAAACATCAGTGCTGAGGCGGCTCGCCCCTCACTCACTCACCGCTGGATGTGTTGACCGGTGAAGGATGTCCTCCTTCGACAATCTCTGTTGCAGCAGCGCCAAAATATAAGGCGGTACAGTGGTTATTCTCTGTGTCCTGCTGTATTACTGAATGAATGGACCGATGAATAAAGCCCATACGTCAGCTATGAAGAGAGCGCGGACGTTGACCGAGATCCGTCGTGTGTTTTCCTCTCCAGCTGTTGACTCACTGACATGTTTTTTCTTCTTCTTCTTCCTCGATGTCCACAGTAGTAATAGGCTTACAGGAGCTCGTCCAAGCACGCAGACTCTAATATAAATTCAGTTTTTTCCCTCCCATTCATTATCTGCAGTGGAGAGACACGCAATACGGGTATTTAACATAGGCACCAAAATTGAAACCTAGACGGCATTAATCAAATTTCTCCTTGAAAACGGACGTGTTCGCTCTCTCTCGCCGCCGAAGTTGAACCATTACGTGGACGAACCGTCCGATAAGCCGCCTGCTGATGGAGCCTGTAGGACAGTTACACCCGCCTGGGTTTGCTCCCGAGAAACGTGCCCGTTGGTACAAATGGAAAAAAATGACAGCCGTCGCCTCCTCCTCCTCCTCGTCCTCCTCCTCTTCGTCTTCCTCCTCCTCCTCCTCTCGGTCCAACCAACACAAACTAAAACTAACCGCGCGTCTCCTCAAACTCCGCCTGAGGCCGCACCGCTTGGCTCTGATTGGCTCCTTGGGTGACAGCTACCCTGAGGAACCAATCATATATCAGTCACTGCTGCATGTCCCGCCCACCGCCGCAACACCATCAGTATAAATCATGGTGGGCTCCAGTCCACAGAGGAGAGCATATGTAGAGTTTCAGTAAAAAGGGGCCTACTTTTTATCATAAGAGAGACATCTTAAGAACCCCTTATCAGAGCTTATCGTTTCTGAAAAGTGGATCTTGGATATATCTAGGGAAAAGTGTTATAAACACACTAATGTTCAGCACATTTGTTCACAAAACACACACTTCTAATATCCTAAATCTTCCTTTTAAGTCTTAGTTTTTTAAGACAGTGCTGTGCCGCGCCTCTGCCGCTGTAGGACGCGTCTACCGCGTCTGGGGAGCTGTCCGCGCGGTGAATGTTCGCTGTGCTGCTGTCCTTGGTGCTGAACCGAAGCGCAGCGTTTTTCTCCCCTCTGTTTTCCTCTGTCCTCCGCCTGCGCGGCGCCAGCAGCCCCTGCACCGTACTGATTAGTTAGAAGAGAGAGAGAGAGAGAGGAGGGGGAGAGAAAGAGAGATTGGCAAGCGATGCATGAAGAATCGCGCCCGGGAGAGAAGCAGAGACGCCACTTAAAGAGCCACGGACCGTTTTTAATGATTCCACTCCAGCGAGGCTTCCACACAAGGCGGTCTGAGCTTCACAGTTCACTTAACACTCACGGGAGTGCGCGCGTGTATGTGCACGAGGATGCACGAGTGTGTACGCATGTACTAAAGCGTGTGCCTGTTTATGTCTCTGTTCACGTGACTCTGTAGTGTGCAAATGTGTACAGTTATGAACATGTGTAAGTGTCTTTTTGAGAGAAAGTGAGAGAGCCTGTATGTGTGTGTGTGTGTGTGTGTGTGTGTGTGTGTGTGTGTGTGTGTGTGTGTGTGTGTGTGTGCCGCAGGCGGCTGAACAGATCTGACTGTTTAAAAGCTCATTGTATTGCTGTTTAAACAGCAATGAATAAAAGCCTGTCTTCGTCACTGGAGACAAATACAAATGATGGGATGACAGCACTGCAGGGATGAATAAATGCATGGAGCCCCTTCTCTAATTGTTAGTTTTGATATTTCTATTTACTGGAAACTCTTTCTTTCTTTCTCTCTGAGCATTCAGACACATATTCATTAATCAATGACAATCAATGAGTGTGTGGCTCTGTAATACCCAGAGGGAAAATACATAAAACAGATATTTCTTTCTCTCTGTTTTCCTGTGCATGTCTGTCAAGTTAAACGGTAAAGTGTTGGTATTTGGAGGAACTACAGCATTGCAGGATTAGCTGTATGTTGATGCCTTAACTGAGTAACTGCTGGATTTACTGACTGACTATCAGGATGTAAGTGACTATGAGGTGAAGTGAGTGATGAATGGAATGACAGTTGAAGAACTGCAGTGTGTGGTTGTGGACAAACAACAGAAATAAACAGAATAGGAAACAGAAGAATTAAAGCGATCAAAAACAAACAGAGAGAAGGAGACAGAAAAGTGACGAGTGAGAGGGAAGAAGAAGGATTACAGTTAATAGTTAAATAATTGCATGAACTGATCAAAAGAGAGAGCAGTGACAGCTCCTATCATCCTTCTCACTTGCTCTGCCAGTGTGTGTGTGTGTGTGTGTGTGTGTGTGTGTGTGTGTGTGTGTGTGTGTGTGTGTGTGTGTGTGTGTGTGTGTGTGTGTGTGTGTGTGTGTGTGTGTGTGTGTGTGTGTGTGTCCGAAGCCCTTGCTGCCTGCGTTATCTCACAGGGAGACTCATTAACATAGAAATGACTTCAGGAAGAGAAGAACAGCGTTTCACCTCTGGTGAGAGACAGGAGGGAGGGAGGGAAGCCAGAAAAAGGAGAGAGGAGGGAGGGAAAAGGGAGGAATGGAGAGAGTGATTGTGGGAGGCTTTGAAGGGAGGTGGTTGTTTGGTGTAAGTCTTGGACAACAATGTACAGTAAACACATTGCACCAGACTCAAGCAAGAACTACTTGTACGAACAGATGTGTCCTTAAGTGCATTGTACTAGTGATTTAGGAGAACTTACACTCTACGATATTCTCACATTAGTCCAGATGTGGTTTAGAATTCATATGCAATTAGTTTTATGTTTTACAAACTTTATTTTAACTACTGGATTTCATTACTTTGAAGCAATCCTATTAATATTACACCTATGTCTATTATTGAGATACTCTAGTGATATATGTCCTTTCTATTATGAATTTGTATGTACTTGCTGCTAATGGTCATTTGTAATATATAATGTATATATATTTGTGTCCTATTGTATATTCTTAACTTGTGTAATGCTTAACAGTGCTTCTGCTGTGACAAAATCATTTACCAATTTGGGTTAAATAAAGTATCTACCTGTTGGGGAAATATGTTCCTAGGCCCATCACTTTGACCCAGTTGATCAGTTTGTACTGACCTCAATACTGCACCTGCTGCCGTGGCTGCTGTGTCTCCCTGTTCCTGCCTGGTGGCATCAGCTGATAGAGGTGTAATGGTTTTATCTTGGTATGCACAATGTTGATTATTCTCTCTGAACTAGCTACATACATGGGTCTGGGGGAGAGATCTTCAGAATTGCTGTGTGGAATGTGAGAATTCGGTTAAGGATATGATCAAATATCTGGAACAATACCAGAAACCTGCAGGTCCGCTGCAACTCTGACTGCTTTTAAATCCAGGCTGAAGACTTTCTTTTCTATTCACATCTTACACTGCATTGTAACTTTTATTCATGTATTAATGTGTTATTATTTTTGCTTTTTAATGTTTCTTAACCCTTAGATGCATAAGTGGGTCTTTTTGGACCCGGTGAGGTGGTTTTCTTAGAGTATCTTTGTAATTACATTTTTTTATCATTTCATATTCCAGCTATTCCTCAAAAAACATGTTTTGGATATCATGCCATTCACATTTTTTATTTAAATTTTAAGAAATTGTAGTTTTCGTATTACTACCCCAAGCTTCCATAAGTGGGTCTTTTTGGACCCGGTGAGGTGGTTTTCTTGAAGTATTTTTGTAATTACATTTTTTTATCATTTTATTCCAGCTATTCCTCAAAAAACATGTTTTGGATATCATGCCATTCACATTTTAAATGTAAATGTTATACATTTTAAGAAATTGTAGTGTTTGTATTACTACCCCAAGCTTCCATAAGTGGGTCAAAAATGACCCGCATGCATTTTCTATGGAATTTCGTTTTTTTTTCAAAATGTAAAGAAAATGTCTAAAATTATAAATAGTGAAAAATTCAACATAACATATTTCTAGTGTGAACCAAAATATAATACTAAATATTATACAAGTGATTTTCTTTAACCAAAATGACAAAAATGGCATAAAAACACATATTATTCTAATACGGGTCCTTTTTGACCCACTTATGGAAGAGGGTAGGGTCCAGTCACTCGTGCATTTAAGGGTTAAGGTCTTTCATGTTTCTAAAGCACTTTGAATTGCCTTGTGTTGAAAAGTGCTATATAAATAAAGTGGCCTTGCCTTGGCAGTAGTCAGCGTTGAGGCGTGGCTGTCCCTGTCGCTGAGGAGCTGCCTGACGCTCACCTTTCTGCTTCTTTGATGGATCCAGAGGGTTGTTGACACCCACCTGGATCCATCTTCATCTTCATCCAAATAGACATATGATGTTTCCGAGTGTTTGGACGACCTATGTTGTCAATGTATTATCTTTTTAATTTACACACGACATCTTCTGTCCTTCCTGGGAGAGGGATCCTCCTCTGTTGCTCTCCCTGAGGTTTCTTCCCATCAACTGTGGGGTTTTGTTGGAAGTTGTTCTTTGTCCGATGTGACGGTCCAAGGACAGAGGGTGTCGTATAATCAGAGTAACAGATAAACATAAAGAACATAATCAATTAGAAATAATAAATGTATGCAGCTTTTTCCAGTCATCAGCAATTCTGTCTTTGATTTCTGAAAACCAGCACGGTGTACGCTCCTGAGAGCCGAGAGATACTGGGTGTTTCTCAATCGCGAGTACGCTTGCTTGGTAGCACATGTCTTCCGAGTCACTTCCTTCAGAAGCGAGGCAAGAATCCTTCCTGGCATTCGGAAAACGAAGAGTGGAACAGTCTAGCAAGTGTGCAGGTGTGCGTCATACGAGAGGCCCCGCCTTACATCTTCCGCCACAGATCTGGGGAAATTGGTCCGTGCGCAAAGCATTGTGGGGATTTTAAGGACGCGAAGTCTACCCATGTGCAGCCTCGAAAATTTCCCCCAAACCAAGGACGCGGCCTCGGTGGAATTCCAAGTATGCTGGACATTGGAACGGTCCTGCTGCGCCACTTGATGACGTAGCATCCTTGAAATATTGGCTTGGAAGCCAGTATCCTCGCGATTGAGAAACGGCCACCGTCTTAACTTCTATAAAAAGCCTGATTACCATTTCACTTATGACCCTGGTGTTGCTAGGCAGCGGGGTGAGGAGGTCACAGGCCCATATGCAGAAAAGCATCATGGGAATTGTAGTTTAATGCGTCCTGCCTTTTCTCCATTCTCACTTTCAGGAGGATGAAGAGAGGAAGACGCTGTGGTTCTTGAAGAGAGGAAGAGGAGGAGGAGGAGGACTGCAGGGTTTCTGCTCAGTGAGCTGGAACCTTCTCACGCCTCTGGCCAGTGCTCAGAGACTGAGAGGAAGAGAAAGAGGAGGAGGAGGAGGAAGAGGAGGAGGAGGGCAGGCAATACAAGAGGAAGAAATCAGAGGAAACGGAAAACCACAGAGAAATGAGAGAGTGAAAGACAAACTGTTTGGAGGAAGACAGAAGAGAAGGAAGTGCAAGATGACTGACAACACAAGCATACTGCAAAGTCAGAGAGCTGGATACACTCACAGTC